TGGGAAAGTGACTCAGCTGAATTGGAGCTGGCAAAACAAGTCATGTAACCATGGTGTGTTCACATCATGGTGTGTAGTGGTTGGTTGAATTAGGTTTGTTATGATTTAAAACTATGTAGCTGATAACTGGTAATTGCTTTAAAAGGCCTGTTTTTTGGAATAAAGCAGCTCTCCTTTGCACCTGCCTGGGGACCCTCTGTCACTATGGAACCTCACTTCACATCTAAGGACACCTTTCCAAGCCAGGGGATGCTGGAACATGCTCTGGTTGAGGGCTAGGAGATGGGACAGCTCATGAGAACAACACTTCCAGGAGGTTTTTGGACTCTCACAGCCACCAAATTCTGTTTTCTCTTACTCAAAGACCTCCCTGTGACAAGCCTCCACTAACTGTCCTCTGGCTTCACCTAGGGAAACAGCAGGCAGAAAACCTCATGGTCCTTTTGGAGCTCCTGGCCAGGTGAGCTCCACCAGCACCCACGAGAAACAGAGGTCTCCTCTCCCACATGCTGCTGATCCCCTGCACTTCCCCCTTTGCTCAGAGCAAGCCAAGTGACATAAGATTTCCTTGATCACACACCCAGGGGTGCTGCTCTAAACTTCTGTCTTTGAGGAATGAGCAACAAGGCTGTGGGGCTTCAGAAGAAGGCTGGAAATCCTGGGACCTTTGGAATCGAAATGCAGGGAAGAAGACAATGAGATAGAGGTGAATTGGCAGCTGGGGCTGACCCTCCCAGCCCAAACTCGTAGGAGGAAGAGGGGTTGGCCTGAGCTCCCTGCTGCCATGGAGGAAGGTCACTGTGGTTGAGGCATGTCAAGAGAGTTGCCATTCTCTATGACCACTCATGGTGTTTGCAGCTCTGCATTTAAAAATGATGATAAAGGTAATCAAACTGTCAGGAGGAAAGACAGATGGGGAGCTCCCTGGAGCCAGTGAGGGATTCCCTGCTTTCTGCTTTCAGTGAGCAGCAGCCATTTATATTTCACTTGCACTGTGGACTCAGAGCAAGGAGCAGGGCAGAAGTGCTTTGCAAAAACACAGTAGGAAGGAGCACACAGACACTGAATTTGTCTCTGCTTGAGCTTCAAGACCTTTTTATGCTATCTTTAGACATCACTAGGAAATATGGCAGGGGTTATAAACTTTTCCCAGGAAATATTTTGATGAACAGAAGTCCCAGGTGGGATAACAACCGGTAACTTCCTGCAGCCAGGTGCATTCTTCCCTTCTTGTCCTCCCTCTCAAGTCTTTGATGAAGTCCTGCTGGCAGGAACTGCAGCTCTTTAGATCTATCTGAGCTACAAGGTTCAAGGTTCTTTCAGAAATACAATCTGCAACACCAGTGGTGGAGATGAAGGAAGGGGAGAGAGGTGTGAGGACTCCCAGCTGCAGAGCCATTGACCTTGGCCTGCCAGCCAGATCCACAGCTCAGGTCTTTGATCCAGGCTGTGGATCCAGAGCTGTAGAGTGGAGACCTCTTGCTATTCTCTGAATTCTCCCTTTGTCACGACTATGGCACCCCTCCTGTCTTCTGTCTTCAGATGTATCTTTTTTCCTCTTACCTTTGTGTGCTGCCAGTGGGGACAGCTGGCAGCCTCTCTTCCTTTGTGACACAGAGTCATCCAGCATGGGGCTGTGTCTGTGCTGACACCACATCCATGCAACCCTGTGTTCCAAGGATCGTATTTGCTTTATTTCTGTGGATTAAAAAAAAAGCCCCAAAACCCAGTAAGAAAACAGCCTTGCTCAGAAGAGTTCTAGCAGTTAATTAGTTTCAACATTGCAAGGCCCACTGCCCAGCAGCTAAAAATCATCGTGTTTGAATGGTGAATTAAGTCAGCCAAGCAATAAATCTGTGCAACAAAACAGTCCCTTCAGCTCAGAGAAGTTCTCTTTCCCCAAAACAGTGAGAAATGGTTTTTTCTGAGAGCCCACAAGGTCATCGAATTAATAAAGCATTTCAAGTAATCTGTGGAAGTGAAGTGACACCCTGCTGCAAGAGATTTGCTGTTAAGGCCAACTTTCTATAACAGAGTGTGATGTATATAGGATTTCCAAAGCAAACCTGTCCTCTAATTTAGGGCAGTTGTCCAAACTCCTTCATGTCTGTTCTGGTCCACTGTCTCCCTCCCTAGTCATTATTTAGGAGACTTAAGCTTGAGAAAAACTCACAAGAGAAAAAAAAAAAAAAAAAAGAAAAAAAAAAGAAATCTTGGGATTCTCCCATTGACCAGGCAAGATACTTCTGAATACTTTCATGCACTAAAGTGAAGACACCAAGGAGAGGAAGTGAGTGAAATGCTGAAAATCTCTTGAGATAATGGTGGGACAGGCCCATGTGTTTTGCAGTGGCTGCTCTCTATTCCCCTACCTCATACAAATACAAAGCTGTCACGAGACTGCTGCACCCAGAATAACAGAGCTTCTCCTTTGATATGAACAGCTCTGGTGCCAGGGACATTTCCATGACCCAGCACAGACACCAAGGAGGTCCAAAGCCCAAGAAGCATCACTCAGACATCCAGGCATTAAATAAACAAAAGGAGTTTGACTTCCAGTTAAATTCTGCCAGCTTAGGCTGAACACAGAAGGATCTCTCCAGGCAAGGCAGGCACATGGAGCCAAGCATGCTTTGTGTTGTCCTCCAGGTCCTGTCCTGTATTTTTGGGGTGGCCCTGATTTGGGCTGCAGGTGCAGCAGCAGTAGGCATGGAAAGGATGAGATGGGTGATGCATTAAGAGATGCTTTGTGGCAGATATTAGGGAAATCTTTCCAGTAGTCTGGAGGGTTTAGCAGGAGAACAGATTGCCTGGGAGATGCAATGTCTCTGCCAGCAGCTGTTTTTAAGCCAGGATGGACATCTGTGGCTGAGAACACATCCTAGGTGGCCTCTCATGCTCCCTTCAGACCCAGGGCTTTTCTCAGTGTCCTGATCTTTAGAGGAAGAGAAAGGATGGGACAGAATTTTCACTTTTAGCTCTTGCAGATGGCCCATAACAGGTCTTATAGGAGAGCAGGGAGCTCTCCTTATAGGAGGTCAGGAGGAACTCCAGCCAGTTACCTCCAACCCCTTCAGTGGAAGTTTGTGTGATGGCAGCCTCTGCCTTGCACTTACAGCCGAGTATCTTCCTTCACTTTCCACTGGCTTTTTTCTCATTTGTAGAACCATTTAACATGAAATATATACTTAATAATATGGTAGCACAAAGAGGCACCGAATAGGACAAACATAAAGAAGAGATGACAATAGCCTCTGCAATATTGCATCCTTCTCCATGAAATCCTAGCCCAGGCTCCATTTGCCTTGGACTTCCTCAGTACAAACCTCTTGTCCAGTCACAGAGCTCTGCCCTCCCAGCGCCACCACAGCTCACAGTGACCGTGCTGCTGCAGGCAGCTGAAATCCAAGGGATGCTCATCCCTCTGCAGCCCCTGACAGCGCTGACATCCAAACCCTGCAGCCTCTGCACGCTCATTGCCATGCAGCAGGACCCCCAGATCCCATCTGGAGCGTGGCTGCAGATGGATGGACATCTGTGAATGTGTTCACATCCCCACTGATGGAGACGTCCCCGAGCAGCCGTAACGCTCGAGTGTGTGCTTTGCGTTTGGGGCAACAGAGGATTTTTCTCCCATTAAATAAATAAAAGACGTTCAGAACAACTTGGGATAAAGCCATTCTAATCCTTTTATTCTTTCCAAAAGGAAAATGATTCCATATTCAGGGCACTGTGCAAACAATTAATTAGCCTAACGCAAATGAAAGGCCTAATTGCTTGGCGTTATTGCGCTCATTGGCAGCCAGGCATGACCAAAGAATAGGTACTGTTCTACCAGGGATAAAGAACAACTTCCCAGCTTTCAGGGCTTTTTTGATATTTCAGCATCTAGCAGAACGATTTTTTTTTTTGAATGATGGTGTAATTCTCACTTCCACATGCAAAAAAGCTGGCAGTATTTGAAGACATCTGAATGAGCTGCTATCCAATTAAAAAAAGAGGAGAGGAAAGAGACTCAGCTGGTGTGAAATGACCTGGCTGAAGGGAAGTCGATAAAGCTGTAACTTGCCTGAGTTGAATGACACCGTGGCATCTCCAGCTGGAGACTTCACTCACAGAAGTGCTGTAACATTAAGAAAAAAATGTATGTTTTAAGGCGTGCACCTAAAATTAAAGTACAATCATCCTTAATGCAGCTCACTTTCTGTTGTTACCAGATGGAAAAGTGCTCTAAATGGATGCAGATGAATTTGTTCACTGTGGATAGGATCATGAGGGATCAGGTTACAGGAGCTTTAAAAAACTGAACTGTTATCATTAATGCATCTCTCACAACAAGGAGACAGAAAGCAGATGCTGACTGAGCACTGACCTAGCCTGAGGAGTATGGGTCCAATAATTCTTCCTTTAGGCAGCTGACTCTCATGGGAAAATCCCCAAATATTCAGCTGTAATGGCATTATCTGCCTTGTGCAGAGACTGGCAACCAGAGACTCTTCTTTAAAAGCAATCTGGGTGAAATCTGCTCTCATTCACACTTGCACACCCCCATGGAAGGCACTACAGAGGACTTCTCAGCAAGGTGGATTTTTGGAGTTTGGGGTGAGTGATTACAAAATGAAAGGTGCTTACAATATATAATACTACCAGCATATGAAAAAGGTGAAAAAATAAAACAGATTCATGGTTGAAGGTCACACACACAATGTGAAACCAAGAAGTAAAGTTTTGAGGGCCTTCTTGAAACAATTTCAGGTCAGTACCTGTTTGTATATGCAGCTGGGAACAATTATTAGATGCTGTTGAAGACTGTGAGACAAAAAAAAAAAAAAAATCTCCAAAGATGTCATAGCAAGAATGGTTCTTCAGATGACTGAATATCCCAATAACCTCTGTCAGGCTGATTAACAACATTCTGCTGAGCTCAATGCAGCTGCTACGTAACCTTAGAGAGACAGGGACTCCTCACTTGTAAAACAGAAAATTCCAGCAGAACAAGGTTTTTCTTTTCAATTTATTTTGCAAATCTACCAGTTCATTTTATGAAAGTATGAAATCCTACGTGGTTACATTAAACAGTTACATTACAATCCAGGTAATACAAATAATCACTACAAAGTTAGTTTTAGGTACTCTTGGACAACAAGTAGATTTCATATTTTTTAAAATAAGTCACAAAGACGAGAGAATAGCCTTCTGATTGTCAGAGACTTTAGTTTAAAGCAAGGAAACCACTGTAGATTCTCCTCATCCTATAAAAAGTTAAGAGAGAAACACTTTCAATGTTAATGTTCAATTAGATTCATCGAAGACATTAAGTGCACTCATCTACTCTCAGGGTAACAAGAACAGTTCACAAGTTGTTTGGAAACTGGTGTCAAATTTCATTCTCTGGAAATCTCTTTTACCATTTAACATCACCTTTGTCCTTGCTTTCAGATGCACAAAAATCCTGTAAAATGCACAGAGCTCCAAATCCTCTCTAATTGAATTCAGTGGGAGTAGGATCAGTCACTCCATTCAGGAGGTACCCCTGACATACTAAAATCCTTACAAAACAACCTTCCTTCCAGGAATGAAATTCATGTAAGGAACAAAATACTGTAGTAATTCAGGAAAACTCTCAGCTTTGCTATCCAGCAATTGACACTGCAACTGCATTTCTGAGGACCTTTATGCATGGTCACTCTTTCCTCTCAACCAGCAACAGAATGCATGAAGACACCAGGTAACTGCTCAGTAAGAACTTGGAGCTATGCAAATAAAGTATAAAAATCAAAAAAGAGATCAAATCAGTCTCAAAACAGCTCTCCTGGCACTCATTTTACACACCTCCAGTGTCATTTTGCTGCCTGTAAGCTGCCACTTCTGATGTGACATCTGTCAATCATAACTGCTTCTTAGGAAGCAATTAAATAGTTTAGATTTTGTAGTGACATCTCTCACTGTGTGTGGATTTAGGGGTAACACATCCATATGTTGCATATCATGCAACAGTTCCAGAGAAGCAAGAAGAGCTGTTTATAGGGAAATAAGGCAGGTGCAGCTACATTCTGATGACCTGTGGCACAAAGGAGTTTGAAGCAGATCATTCTCTCTTGTAGCCTTCACCTCTTTCAGCCAGTGGGTTGCAAACTCTCAAATCTCTCACACATGTGCAACAAACCTGCAGAACCCATTGTAGCACAGAAATGAAGCCAGCAGCTCCCTTCTTCTAAGAGAAATAGATATTTATCCTCAGAGTATCTTTTAACACTGATAATCTCAGAAAACTTAGAAGAAACCAGACAGGGTACACAAAACTATACAAAATTTTCACCTGGACATAAAGTGCCATCAAACCATGGAAGCAAAAAAAGAAGTCACTGTTGAGGCAGCTACTTGAAGTATGTACAGAAGGTTTATTCCCCTGAAACAGACAGTTTGCTACAGTCTTGGAAATGGCACCAAGCTGGTGGGAATGTTACTGTAATAAAGGCTAGCAACTTCCTTCCTGACTAACACCACTCTTACCTGACAGGCCAAAGGCAACTAGGGTGATTTAACTGGTGGCTGACTGCAGGAATTTCCCCAAAAGGTAGTTTAAAATGGTTATAGATGCTGTCATTTCCCTGTCTCTGATATGGTAACTGTAATTCATTCAGCCCCTTCTTTCTGAGCATGTATTACCACAGACAGCCCCACCCTGCTATTACCACTGTGCCTGCTTGTTTTCCACCTCTACTCATGTAAATGTAATGTCAAATGCTCTTAAGAATCCTGAGCAGTCCTCCAGAATCACTTGTTCAAGTGACATTTCTGTAATAATAAGGAAAGAAAAAAGAGTTGTGTGAAATTAAATGGCACTCCTGTTGCCAAGCTGTTAAAATTATATGGCAATATGCTTCCAGTAGTTGTAAGAAATTAATATGTGGAGTGCTTACAAGCTTTACATCTACTAAATCTCAACAGGATATAAAATGCTATTTAAGTGACACAAATGTTAAGGAGAAAAAAAAAAAAAAAACAGCACCAAAGAGTGGAAGAAGAAACTAGATTCTTGTCTGCACTCTGATTCCTGGAGGCTGGATCTCTACAGCTGAGGAAGCCAGGTGGGAGATCCTTGGTGAAGTACTTGTGCACATATGTCAGCAGCTGCATCTCTCCCTTCTGCCACCTCTCAGCACACGAGGCTGGGCTCTAGCAGTGAGTCACTCCCCTCCTGCAAGCAGTGGCTGGCAAACAGCTCAGCCAGCCCCCACTCTCTCTGCCACTGCCTTCTGACAGGACCAGCCAGAGCAGAGCAACTCACTGGAACTACTTTTCACTGCTTTATTATAATGCTGTTCAGGAAGATGTGCCTCAGACATCTGTCTGTAGATGATGAATTCATTTCTGAGTTTTGCCACGATGTGATTACTGTCATCCTCTTCTCACCACAACGGCAAATACAATATAAAACTTTGGATTTTCTATAGTGAGTGAAATCAGCATAATGAAAAGCCAGGCAGTGCCAGAAGTGCTGTCACTGCTCCATTCTGTGGGACAGGACCAGGGTAAGGCGCTTTGGCAATCAGCACCAAGTTTAAGCAACAAACTTTTAAAACATCCACAAGTTTCCTGCAGATGCACAGAAAACTTGAGACCTCCTGGCTGTTCTCTAAGCTGCTTTGAAACGACAACAATTCATTTAATCCAGCAGCAGATCCTGGCACTATTTTTTTCTAAGTACAGTACATTTTGATAGCAACACAAGCGTGTGACACAAAACAGATTTGTTCAAGCTCACTGTGGTTCTGATGGGCTACACGCACCAAGAGGCAACTCAAAAAGAGCACAGAACTCAATTAATCAGGACAACAACACTGACTCAAAGGAATTTCAGCTCAACTTTGTGAAGAAAGAAGGAGCTCACAAAGGAAAAGTTCTTATTGCAAGTTGTACTGCTCAGCTTGGTCACTTCTCACACAGCTCTGAAGTATCAAAAGCTACCAAGGAGCCAAGGACAAAGAATTCCTGTTTTGCAACTATTTTAAATATAGCAAGCCTGCTTTAGAAAGAAAAGCCCCCACACAATATTCCAAATGGCCTTTTCTAGCAGACTGGAATTGTTAAATCAACACAGACAGAAAATACACACTTCTAACTACTTCTGGCACCTTGCAATTTGGAAAACTCTTGTGCACATGGGATGAGGCAGCTTATTTGCAGACCCTTTTCTCACAGTTCCCTTGGAGCTTCCTTCACCCCTCTGCATCACCGGGCTCAGCAGGTGCCTTCCTCAGAAGGCACAGAGTGGCAGCTGCCGTGGGACACGGTGTCGATGCTCTGCCCTTGGGCCTGGGGGTGGATGGACACCTGCACGGCGATCTCCTGGCCCTGCTCGCTCAGGGAGCCATCGTCCGAGTCGCCGGCCGGGGACTCGCTGCGCTTCACCTGCGCGCTGCCGGGGAACAGCGCGGCCTGCGCCCCGCAGCCGGGGGGCTGCTTCTCCTCCTTGCCCGCCTCGTCGGGGTCGTCCACCCGCACGGCCTCGAAGATCTCCTCCATGAACGCCCTGCAGTTAAGGATCAGAGGCGGGAGGGGAATGCTCCTGGCGAGCTCTTCGATGTACCGAGCAAACTCCATGGTCTTAAACTGAGTGACTTTGGCCAGCTCGAGCGTTTTGGCAGATGTGATGATGGGGATACGCTTGGCTATCTCGAAAGCCTTCTGCAGCTTCTCGGCCCCTTCCGTCCGGAAGAACTCGTTGATGGCCTTCTCCGTTTTGCGGAGGTGGCTGCTCATCATGCACAGGCGGGTGATGTTCAAGATGAGGGTGATGGCAAAGGCAACGAGGCACACAATCATGTAGTAGATGCTCATGTCCCCTGAGGTGAAGATAACCCTCAGGGTGACTGTGTAGTACAAGGTCTCGTTATGATTAATGCCTGCACACGTGTACCGGCCCCGGTCAGCAAAGCTGACCTTTGTGATGTTGAGGGAATTATCAGCAATCCTCCACCGGTCATCTGCAGAGGGGCAAGAAATAAACAGAGCTCATGAAACAAAAATCCCAGGGTAAACATCTTCAGCAGTCAAAGCTTGGTAGTGAGCAGTCCACTTCTAGCATAGTAACAGTACACCAAGGACTGAAATGTCCTTTTCATGCTTGTGACACAGAAAATCATAACCCACTTACCCCTCATACTGCTTAATGGTAAATTATTCTGCATGCTTGCTACACTACTTTTACTTCCTCCTCTCATCTGCACTTTCCAGTGTGCTTCTCGTTCTTTCTGATAGGGATCCTAATTCTTAACCAGGGCTTCTCACCCTGTGTTAAAAGACGGTCCTCTATAAAGTCTAATTTTCCATACATTCAGAGTCAAAAGTCAAGTGACCCATGAAAAAGATCAGTCTGTAAATGGCTGTGTTGGCAAAAGAACCCAGAATTTTCTTGAGACAGTTTTCTGCTGAGCATGCAGTGCTGACATGCAAAACCCAAGTAAAAGAGAAATCAATACAAGAAGCTTTATACAGCATTTGCTGTGCATTTATAACTTAGGGGGAAAACTGTTTTCATAACTCATTTCTTCTAATTACTCTGCTTTGAACTGTTTTCATAACTTATTCTTCTAATTACTCTACTTTGAACTAATCTCCAGATGGCATTATAACTACAAAAAGGTTACTGAATACTTAAGGCAGAAATATGGCCTCCAACAAGATCCTATCAATTAGTTCGATGACCTTCATTAATACTAAGAGAGAAAAACACATGTATCTCTAAAACATTTTTTAAATTAGAAACTGCAGGGATAGAACTGTAAGAGCCAATGGCTAGGAAAATATATCCCCCTTCAGTTCAAAAGGGTTAAATGGCATGAATTCCATCGTTGGCCATTACATATTGTGTTACTTTCCACAATCCCACTGGTGCATAAACCAAAAAATAAATGTACTAAGTATGTTTTAAAACATATCCTGTAACAAAGTTAAAGCACAAACTGCTAGCTCAAAAGGTCATAAGTTGTGGAGAACTGTGTTAATTCATGCATTTGGAAAAATATAATTTCAACCAGAGCAATAATAAATAAACCCATCAGTTAGTATTGGGTAAGATGAAGACTCATTTCTTCTGTATGGAACACTGGGATGACTCTTGAACAACATCATTCTGTGAGGCACCAAAGCAGGATGGAACAGAAATACTCAGGTGTAATTCCCATGCAACATTTCAGAGGGCAAAGGACTTTGTTTTGCTCTCTCCTTATCTCCCAATTGTAAAAATGGGAGGATAGGACGAGAAAATTATAATAAAGTCCCAGGGCTTTTCCAATACTGTTTAAAAGGGGAATAATGATGGATAGAAAACAGCAGGAAAACTCACCTTCATCTTTCTGTTCAAGCAGGTGTCCTCTGGAGTTATACCAAAGGATATGTTCATACTGGCTGATGTTCAGTTTACATTCAATTAAAATACTGCTCCCCTCTTTGGCTATGATATCATGGTGTGCTGGAGAACTTATTAAAGCTTGAGACACTGCATGAAGTGATGCATTGAAAGACCTAAAAGCAACTGTCCTGTTAAAAGCTACATTTTCCACGGTGAATCCAACTGAAAGACCAGCACTAACAGTCAAAATTAACAGGCAATAGCTGAGCTTCATGGAAAGCTAGTGAAAATTCTTCTTTCATTTAATTTGGAGAAATGAGGTCATATGATATTAAGCTGTCTGTATTGCTCTGAGATAGGAGAGGAGCTCTTGATTTGTTCTGTGATGGAAAATGTCTGGGATCCAAATGCACTTTCAAGACCATCAATATTTGAAGTGGAAACTGGAAGTAAAACTGGAAAAAAAAAGCAGTAAGTTTATTAATGACCTCAAGGTTACCATGTATTCAAATTTAATTTGCAATAAACAGATTTCAAATATGATAACATAAACTGTCAGCTGAGAGGTTCCAAATCAGAGCTTTGCTCAGAACACAGTGATAAAATGAGGGTAAGAAGGCATGAGCACAACCTCAGTCCACCAGATGTTCATCTTCCCAACCGAATAAATAATCTCTGGAACAATAATCATTAAGGGGAAAAAGGTTTTACAAAAAGAACAAATTGTTCAGACTACTTGAAATGCACAATTATCTTTAAAAGTGGGTTCTGCATTTGTTACCAGAGAAAAAGTGCTTTCTTAATAGAGGAAGAAAAGCAAGAAAGAGGATGTAATTTCTGCCTCCCTCTCCAGCAATATCGAAGTGCTTTTAAGCCCTGGTTTTCTAAAGCCAGTCTTTCATTTACTACCCAGAGAAAAACCAAAGTGCACACACACACATCTGACTTTTAGCATTTACATCTACTTACTTGATTTTAGGGGCACAACTGATATTAGATGTCTAAATACTATATAATATGATTTAATTACTTGGGAAAAGTCTCCTGGTTGTTATCTACAGCCAGAAGAGGAAGTCCCTTTCTGAACAGCAGGACACTGATGTTTACACATATTTCCTTTTTTGCAATATCTCTTGTTGCTGCTGCATTTTCTAAGTCTGCTCCCTGTTATTCTTGTTTGTTTTACAATGAGCTCCTGTTGAAAATCTTTTAGTTTATGCTGCTTCATCTCAGCAGTCATATATTTTTCGTTGTCTTCTCCACCCAAACTTCATAGAAATGTGAAAAAATGGTTTTGTCTAGGGACAGAAACTCTTCAAATTAATGTGCACAAAAGATATTTACAGACATTAGGATACAACTAATATTCTGTCTTTTGCACACAAGCCAGAATAAAACCAACTTGTAACAAAAATGAGATGACACTGATAAGAGACAATCTGTAATCAATTTTCCTGCAAGTCTGATTCAAGAAAATTTTTAATCCAATATGTGTTCCCTGAAGTTATGATTCCATCTAGACAGCTTCAGAGCCTTAAAAAAAACGTTTACGAAGTACAGAAGCCACAAGCTCAAATATTATCCTAAAAAATATCTCACTTCATATCACTGACTGTGTGACTTCAAATTTATCATCTTTTCTTCTACAAATAACAGATGTTAGTGGAAGGGAATTTCATAAATATCACAACACAAAGGGACCCACTGACTTAATAAATAATGCAGACACTTTTCTTCCTTCTAGAATTACCAGATTAGCAGTTAACACTATCTAAAGCACTTCTGAAAAATAATGTAACACGCATAAAACCAGGTGATTTCTAGCAATTGTCTTTCATCACGGACAAACTAAGCATATTCAAAAGGGGGAATTCTGCTGATGCTATCCAGACTGAGAATTTTTTTCAGTGAAAGTTAATTTGTCGAAGGTCAAACCAGATTCCAGACTTGACATCGGATGAGAAATGTGTTATCTGACCGATTTCCATTTCTGTTGCGGCTATTGCCAAAACCAGTTTAACAAAGAAGGCAAAGAAGACAGCTGTGTCCAACTCTCCTTCAGGCTTGACTAACCAACTCACCCACTGAATCCTGCAAGAGAAACTGGAAAACAGGCTCCCTACTTGTTTCTCTGTAAACAGCAATCCGTTCATCTGCCTTCTTCTATTTTTTTTTTTAATCATTGGCCCCACTCTGTTTTCTATCATGCCTCTTGTCCTTTCATTTAAGATGAGACTAGTGCAGAGAACTCAATTATACCATTGTGCTGGAGGAGCTACTTTCCCACAGCTAAACAGTTAAAACCACTACCAAGGCCTCTTTCATTCCTGTTTTTCACCAGCTACACTTTAGGGAAAGCGTTACTGAGTCCTGCTGCCTCTGAAGAGCATCCCATCCACAGCAACAGCACAGGTCTGAAAAAAAAAAACAAACTAAGACTGCTGTTGATCAGCAACCATTCTTCTATTTGAGGGAGTGGTTTTAACCTTCCATTTTTAGACCCCTGGTATTTTCAGAGTATTTCAGAGCCTGCAAAAGGCTGCTGACACTGACCTGCTTGCTTTGGCAACCTTATGCAGACCCCACACAGACAGGCTATGGACTGGCAGTGGTTTGTGGACCACTGACATTTGGGTTGCTTTAAAGGTCTGTCACATCTTGTGGTGGCAAGCGAGGTGCTGTGGTCCCAGACCTTCAGCAGACATCACCCTATGACCCAGCTGCCTTCAGATAAAAATGCAGTTTTGCATGCACCAGACTTGACTTCACAGCACCTGATGCAATTAAAACAGACCACAGTTCTGCAGCAAACACAAACCCTCAACTTCACCCTTGAATCACAGGCACATTATAACTTCCAGTCTTCTAAAACAGTAACATCCCAACAGATACTTTAGATTTATTAGAGAATAATCCCAGTGCCTCTTGTACTTTGCCTGTGCTATTGTAATTTTAAATTATTAAATTTGAATTGTTAAGGTTTCCAAGCGTCTCTGACGTCTGTTCCTAAACGACATTAGGAATCTCACTCATTTATTTAACACAAGAAGTACTCAGCAACATTTTCCCTCATAAGAATAATTATCTTCAGTAATTGCGTATGCTCTCCACTATACTTGCACTGAGCCTGCATAATGCATAAACCATTGGTGATGGGTCATTTAATTTTACTATTAAATTCTTCGAGGTCTGATTTATTAGAAATTGTTTGTCTTTTGGAAAAGCCATTATTGCTAAGCAGACAATGATCTCTCACTGCCGAGTGCTGGGAACAATAAAATGATTTGCAAAATCCATATTCTTCGTCCATTGCACTTATGCAAAACAGCTGCTAAAGAACCCAAAAAGGATAAAGTGTGATCAGTGCCAACATCACAATTCTTCAACAAAGCGTTAAGCTCAATCAAGATGAAATGCGCCAGAATAGAAACTGGCTATTTTACAACTGAACCTGATGCTGAACTCAACACATTTAACCTTTATTAAACCATAAGTTGTAACAACAAATAGCAGTGGAAAGATAAAAATCTGTGATGCATGTGCTTGTATGAGTCATCCTTGGCTCCTACCCTGAAGAAGTGTATTTGTGTCTAACTTAGAGCACTCTAAGTAGTCCCACTGAGGTCAGTGGAAGCACTGATAGTACTTAAAATTACACACATTTATATGGCACTGCAAAATTGGGGCCCAAGAGGTTGCAAGTTATATGGTTTTACATTCACCGCTTATAACATCACTTCATACCTGGAGTAACGTGAGGCAATAAACCGAGACACACCTGACAGAGCACAGGCTGCAGATGTCTCACAGAAATACCATTTGCAAGCCCCTTCTGACCCTCTGTCAAACATTTGGCAGAGCCCTGCAGACAGGAACTCTTGGGAAGTTTATGAACACAGCCAGCATGGTCTTGACAAGAGCCATTTGGGGTGCTCCAGCATGGGAGAGGCTGCAGGGAGGGCTCACCTTCTGCTGCCACCAGCCAAAGCTCTGCAGGGGAGTCCCACAGCCCAAGGGGCAAATCCACAGCACCCCAGGACCAGCCTCACTGCTGCCTGATGGGATTTGTTGTTTTCCTGTGCACATCCCTTGGCTGCCTGACAGGACACAGTGTTTTGCTGTGCTTCTCCCTTGGGCGTGTGACACCTGTCACAGGCTAACTTGCCACGACACGGCATCGGCTGTGCACCAAAACAGGTTTTTTTGTCCTGGCAGCTAAAAACGACCAGGCACAAAGTTTCGCTTAATGCTACCCTGTCCTTACAGCCCCTGTATGCTCCCAGTTCACTCGAGGAGAAGCCCTGGTCCCAGCTGGTGGTGGCAGTGGGACACAGGACCCGTGACATGACCACACTGCGGCCGAGGGCACGGGGCCACGGGGGGTGACATCACGCGGGCTGGTGTCACTGGGGCATGATGTCATGCCAGAAACACAAACAGAATATTCTGAGCTGGAAGAAAACCACACGGCTCATCCAGTCCAACTGTGGCCCTGCTCAGGACACCCCAACAGTCCCACCCCGCGCCGGGCAGCGCTGTCCGAACGGCCCTGGAGCTCCGCGATCCTCGGGCCCTGCCCATTCCTTGGGGAGCCTGGGCAGTGCCCAGCACCCTCTGGGGGAAGAACCCTTCCCTGATCTCCAACCTCAACCTCCCCTTACACAGCTCCAGCCGTTCCCAGGGTCCTGTCGCTGTAACACGGAGCAGAGATCCGAGCGGTCCCTCCCCGGCTCCTCGGGAGCTGCTGCAGACTCCGATGAGCTCTGCTCTCAGTCTCCAGTTCTCCGGCCTGACCAGACGAAGTGACCTCAACCACTCCTCCTGTGGCTTCCCCTCGAGGCCTTCCACCGCTTTCGCTGCCCTGCAAACCTGACCCTACTGCCCCTATTTCCAGGCCAAAACAGCCACGCGGGACATGGCCCCGAGGCCTCCCCCTCCGCCGCTGCCCTCCGACCCCGACCTCGCCAGGTGAACCTGGCTGTACCGCCGCTCTCACCGGGACGAGGCTGCCCGGCCCGGCCTGGCCCGTCCCGCAGATCCGCCGCCGGCCCCGCCGCCCGGACGCGCTTCCCCGAGCTGAGGCCGCTTCCGGGGCAGCGCCGGGGCCGCTCTGCGCCGGCCTCGCTGCTCTCGGTCCGCCCGGAGCCGCGGGGGCCGCGCCGACCGCCGACGGTGAGGGACGGCACAGCGTGCGGGGCACAGCGAGCCCCGCGGGGAGGCGGGCGTTGGGGGCCGCTGTGGGGCAGGCGGGACCGTGGCGGGGCGGTGTGGGCACCTGGCGGCTTCCTGGCGGCAGGAGCCCCACGGGGAGGTTTAGGGAACTTGGGGTGCCATATGGGACAGCCCCGTGTGGGGGTCATGGGACTTTGGGGGTCTCCCGGGGAAGCGAGGCACAGCGAGGCCTCCAGGGCTGCGGGATGGGGAGGGTGCCGGGGTGACCCGGGGGTCGCGGTAGTCGCTGTGCAGGGTCCGGCAGATGGGGTGGCGGTCCCCAGCTTGCATCAGTGAGCGCCTGGCCGGGGACACAGCAGTGTCACCCCAGCGTGATCCCGGGGACCCTGGCGTTCTCGGCTTGTCCCTGCCTGGCCTGCCAGTCACTTGAGCCGCAGCTGCTGCCAGAGGAGCCCGGACGGGGGACGCGTGGGGCCCGAGAGCAGCGGGACAGCCCCGCTGCCGGCTCCCCGGCCCCGGCCCGCGGTGCTGGGCGCTGCTGTGGCAGCTGGAGCTGCCCGCAGCTCCTGGGGGTGGCCATGCCCTCATCCCCAGGTGCAGGAGTGAGCCAGTCGCTGCCTCCCTGCCTGCTCAGCTCTCTGACTGCTGTCCCCGTTTGTCTCCTGCGCTCCTCAAAGCAGCCGTGCCAAGCGATTTGTTTTCACTTTTATTTTGGTAATGGATTTAATTATCTGAGGCCCTTTTGTACCTCCGTTTGTTTTTCAGAGTTAGCAAACTGGTTTATTTTCCTGTGGAGAGGGTGTGTCAGTTAGATAAAGCCACGTGTCCCTGTGGGACTTTAAACTTCCAAATATGCTATTTTTGAGTCAGACGTAATTTGGTGTACACACATGTGGGTACATGTGGCAACACTGTTGTGTTTAATTATGTAAAACACCAGCATGATGCTCTTGACCTAATGTCAAAGTGCGAGGGAGTGATTATTTTATGTGCTTTGCTTTCTATGGATGTTTGTAGTCATGTCTGAGGAAGGCAGTGGGGAAAATCTGAAAGATGAAACCTCTTACAAAGCTGAAAATGAACAGAAGACAGAGGAACTTGGCTGCTCTGAGAGCAGTGAAGGAAGAGAACAAGAGACTGTGCCTGTGACTCGGAAAAGACCTGAACCCAAGCCCCCAAGCCAGCCTGCTGCCACAGAAAAGCCTGCAGGGGAAACCGTCAAGGTAAGCTCCTGTGCTTGCTCGGAAAGATTCACATTTCATGGCTTTGGGCACAGGAGAACTCTGAGCACAAGCCCCACTCCTTTCTGAAAATTGACATTGCTGTTCTCTGAAATGAAAAAGCTGCACAAAAGTCACATGTCACTGACTGCTTGTGTTCCTTTCCTCGCTATAGTGCCTGCATCAGTCTTCTGTTTTTCTTCATTAAAGGTCTCAGATCCTCCTGCAGTTCAGACAGGGTGGGGCTACTGGGGAAGCTGGGGGAAATCTCTTCTGTCAACTGCGTCTGCTACCGTAGCTACTGTAGGTAAGGCTCTTTCTGGTATTTGATAAATATTTTAATCAAGCTTTGTGTCTCAAGCTGGTGCTTTAGAACTTGTTTCTAGAGAAGAGGATTTCAGTTATAGCAGCCATTATTGGAAAAATGTCAAGAGAATTGTTCAAGTAATGGGAAAAGCTTGTACCAAAATGTACAGTGAGATTAAGGAGATATGCACAGGCAGAATTACTTTCAGGTTTTTAAGGCGTTTGTGTAATTTTCACCTGGTATTTTAAACTAGTATTCTGCCAGTATTTACAACTTTATTTAAAGGCTAAGATGAAACCTTGGTTCATTACATTAGTAGGTGAGCTGGGTAGAAGGACGTTTTAGTGCTGGTTAAATTGTTTTGAACAGAAAGAATCTTGAATAATAAAAAAGAATATGCAGCTCTAATCCTGTTTCTGTTCTTCTCTAGGTCAAGGTATTTCAAATGTCATAGAAAAAGCAGAAACAACCCTTGGGATCCCCAGTCCTAGTGAAATCTCATCAGAGTCTAAAGATGGTGCAAGAGGTCAGTTTTGTACTGCATAAGAACAACCCTGGAATGTTTTTCACAACATAATGAGCCCCAAAATAACATCACCTTACTCTGCACCTTGCACCTTGAGACTGATAATAAAATAATTTAACTAATACTCTCTTGCTTTGTTCTGTTAGCTCTGAAAAGTAGAAGGGAAAATAATCTGAATTGTAGGCTTGCTCCTAGCTGATATTTGGTGTCTGTTGATTTTCTCCACTCTGTGTCTGACAGGATCTTTTGTCTTTTGGAAGTCAGGAAGTTAATTTTCTGCCTTCTAATGCAGGAAGTGAGAATCCTGCTGCCAGCAACGCTGATGCAGCTGATGATAGCAGCTCCTTCCCTATTGCTGGGGCTCTTGAAGTTTTATCAACCATCTCTACTGCTGTCCAAAGCACAGTGAGTGAGTTGGGAATGCAGGAGAAAATGGGTTTAAGGGAGCTTTGGGGTTTTGGCCTTTAATCTGAAACATTGTAAGAAGAAACTTAATTTTGACATTTGTGGGATGCATGGTGATAAACTCTTCCAGCCTTCAAAAAAGCATTATCTTGGGCCTTGCTTCTAACTGGCACCTAATGTGAAAGATGTTATGAATTTTGATAGTTCTGTATTGAATGTTGGTACCTAACAAAAAAATCCCAATGGTGGATTGTGCAGAGTGTGCATTTCTGTGCGTGTCACCTCTGTGCTCTGCCTTGCCTTTGGAGTAGTCAGCTAACTGCAGGGTCAGACTCATTCCTGGAGTATTTCCACTGATTTCCACAGAACTAGAGATGAAATCCATTCTCCTCTTCAAAAACCTATGTGAAACTAGCTCAGTTCGCTTGGAAATCAGCTTGCTCCTGTGACCAGGAGAAATGCACTTCAAAGGAAGCCATTACCCTTAGAAACTGCTTTTGTGATCTGCTGTCTTGTCAATTTTCCTGGGAATCTGAAAGAGCTGCAGATGGAAAGCTGGCTTCTATTTTTTGCTTTTAAGGCTTGAACAAAAGTTAGAAGTCAAAATCCACAGGTCTGCTGTTTTCTCATTGGAAGGATGAGAACTGAATACTGCAATGTGCTGAGAACCAGCTTGTTCACAAACTAAAAAAATGTATTTCCCATCAGATTGCTGCAGCTGTCTGGGTGCTGTAATAAGCTGTTGGGTGATAATGTGTTGTGGCTCTTTCCATGTCCTGCTGCTCTCCTTGTGATGATTAGGGTTGAATTTAAGGTGACAAGGACCAATTTGGCTTTTATGTGAGTGCCCAGAGTAAGATTGCTGATAAAACCCTCCCAATTCAATTTCTTCTATTGTGTAATCTTCTCTGAGTTTTATGTGCTGTCTTTATCCAAATCTGATTCCTAGGGTAAAAGTGTTATTAGTGGAGGTCTGGATGCCTTGGAATTCATCGGCAAAAAGACAATGGATGTAATAGCTGAGGGAGACCCTGGATTCAAAAAAACAAAGGGCCTAATAAACAGAACCTCTACATTATCTCAGGTACAGCACTTCCCTAACAGCACCTCATTGGTTTCTCTCATCTCTTCTCCCTTCTTTTGTGGTCCTGTCATTAAGCAACCGTTTTTTGCTATTGAGCCAAAAACCTTCTCCTCCTTTATTCTCTATCTCCTGGCACTGTCACGAGGCCTCTGCTTTTCTTTTTCAGGTCTTACGAGAAGCAAAGGAGAAAGAAGAGCAGCAGACAGCTACCGAGGTTACCATGGCTACTGAGAAGAAAGCCCATTATGGGTTACTGTTTGATGAGTTTCAGGGTCTTTCGCATCTGGAGGCCTTAGAGATGCTTTCCAGAGAGAGTGAATCAAAGGTAATGGCCTTGAGCATTTTGCTTTCTATTTTTGAGTTCAGCTGAGCAGGGGAAAAAAGATTAGAAATATATGTATATACATGTAAAATCAAGAGCTCAGAACTTGCTGTAAAATGATTACAGAACTTCACTTTGATCCTTGCATTAGGATCTGGTGTTTACCTTGGGAGCAGTTTGTCCTGTCCTCACCTCCTAAAGCCATTCCCTTTACCCCAGCCAGTCTCTGTTATTGCAGTTCTGTTCCTATAACTTCTCACAAGTTACTCTCCTCACACCTGCTGGTTTGCTACCTTGGCCTGCATTTTCCATCCTATTGGATTGATTTATTGATTCTCTCTTTGGCTGTGCTGCCCCTAACCAGGTGAAAGCAGTTCTGAATGCCCTCTCTGGAGAGAAGTTGGACACACTGAAGGAAGAAATGGAACAACTCAAAGAAGCATTTTCTTTGCCTGAATTCTTTGAAGAAGAAGAGGAAGAAAAGAAAGGTAAGAGAGCCCCAGGTTCTGAGAAGAGAAGCTGGTCCTAGTGCAGAACCAGCCAGCCCTGATCAGTAGCAATGGGCATGATGCCAAATTTAAATTATTCTTTAGCTGGATGTTTAATCCTAAAGCCATCTCTGTCCAAGGGCATGGCAGGTAGCAACACCCTTCACCTCTGAGAAGCTGTGCTGTAATTTTGTGGCAGGAATGATTTCTTGCCAGAGCAGGGTTCGAGTTGTTTGACTCATGGGCAGTTCATACAACTGACCCTGAGCCAAGATGCTAATTCAGAGAGAAAGTGGGTTTCCTTGACCAGGAGGGGAAAACTGTGAACAGAGTTGTCCAACATGTGGGAGAGCAAAAAGCCTTTTTATTTGTTTTTTAAATGAGAGTTAGCCACACAGAGCAAAAGATTCAGAGGTACCTTTGCACA